TCTAATGAAATCATTATCTCTATTTTGTCAATCGTCATTCCATTTTTGCGAAATTCATAATTTATTGTGAAATTCAAAACTATTATATTTTTTATTTTACTTTTTGCAGAAGGGATAATATCTTGTAAATAACGAATATAGAGCTGTATTGATTGAAGAAACAATAATTCTAAAGAGAACGTCTTCCTTGTGTATTTTTGGTAAAGTATATGCCTTCGGCAATATGGAATCACTTGACCGAAGATTCCACAATTCCTTATCTGAAATAAATTCCTTCTGATGCCATTTTTTTTAACATATTATTCAGATTTCTTTCAATCACCATTGCCGGATTTTTAAGCACCAAATATGTATCAGAATCTTTAAGTAACTCAAAAATCTTGTTATTGTAAAAGATCATATATGGCTACGGTTACATTACCTTGTCTGCTCGTGTAAAAAATATGTCTTTGTTATTTTTAACGACACCATTGTGTCGTTAATTTCACCAGACAAGAATTAAAGAATATCGCAATAATATAAAATTGGACTAGTCAAAACTCAGTAATCTCGAAACATATCACTGAAACTAATGACGAGTTTGATTGGGAGAAAGTTACTATTCTTGATTTTGAAAAGAATTATCGTAAAAGAAATATTTCTGAAATGGTACACATTAAAGAACAAAAAAAAAATGATTTAAATTTAATGAAAGATACTGAGTTATTGGATATTTTATTATTTACTTTTATTTTGACATACTTGACGATATACGAGAACTTAAATGATCACAGTTTAGAACAGACTTGTTTTTACTGATTCGATTTTATTGACTGACTTTTATTTGACGTACACTTCACATTAGTTAATTTTCAAACAGTCGATTTTTAAACGAGCAACAGTCAGTATCTTTATTGTACTTAACCGGATCTTTGATGGAGAATTCAGATTACAGTATTTTATATAACCGTAAGTTATTATTACTTGATTCTGTATCTCTTTTTCACATTAATATTATAATATCTTAAATCTATTATTAATCTATTATTAATCTATTATTATATTATATTATCTTAAATTTATTTGTTCTATTAGAATGTCATAAAATACTCGTAATTAAAGAATTCTCAAATCGTTTGATACAAGTCTGTGACAAACTGGATTCTCGATCTCAACCGAGGAATTTGACAAATCTATTTTATCGATAAACATAATTGATCTACTATTGACTAAAGTATCCAAATGTTCCTAGCTTTTTGTCATCTGGCGGGATACTTATTGACGTTCAAATTTTTTTATATTTTTTTATATTCTTTTATTTTTTTATATTTTGACACTTCATCATTGAGGGTTTTTAAATTTTGTATCCATTATTCTGTATTCGTTAATGTAAGATTGTATTTCTGCGTTGCGACACTGAAGAAGGCTTTGTAAGCCGAAACGTCTGTTAATTACATTAATTTAAAGTTAATTTAATTATAATAGCTCGAAATAAGCCATGACATTGTGTTAATTTTTTAAGAAAATATACGAGCATTGTTTAATTATTTATAATTTGTTTAAATCGAAATGTAATGTTAAAAATGTAATATTAAAATTCTATGTCAAACTATAGGTTAAGACTATTATTTTTTGTATATGTAACATCTTAGATACCAATCTTCTTCCTAAATAACGGTTCAAAATTTTGACGTTCTCTCAATCGAAATCATGATTAAATGAAAGTCTGTGATCCGTAATGACCGATCTAGTGCCAATGAAACTATTAATTTGTCGACAATATTCTTAGATTCTCGTTTTTAATTTTCTGCCGGTTTGTCCTACATATGTTGCGTTGTAATCTTTGCAATCTATTTTATACACTACATTCTTGTTTGACTCTTTCGGGAGAACATCTTTGTGAACATTCACAAACCTTCTTTCAAAGTTTATTTAAAAATACCAGCTTCATGTTTAAATTGCTAGTAATATTCCTGAATTTATTTGAGATCGATTCAATACACGGTAAAACGAACCAAGAAGTACGTTCTTATTCTGACGGCGAGTTAGACTTGTTATTTTGTACCTTGGATTGTTTGTGAAATAACGCTTAGATTTATCGTCTCAAAAATAAAATCAGGAGGATAATCATTCTCTAGTAAGTATTTATTATAAATTTAAGGTTCTTGTTATGGTGTGGCAATAAAAAACATCTGTTAACCATTCCTACGCTTTTTACATGATATTATTTCCAACAATATACCTCAACCTTTTATAATAATAACATTAATAACAGTTTTCTATATATATGCGACACACTTTCAAATAATATCGTCAATCTGAACTCTTCCTTAATTAATTAATATTCTCTTATACTCTGACTATTTATATATTTTTTTATAATTGGTTATTGCACGAATTCTTGTACTTTATTCTTATAATTATTTGTTCCTGTAATCACATCTCTCAGCATCAAATGTGCCACATATTTTCATTAATACTTATAATTTGTATTTATAATAACACGATACTTTTTCATATTCGTTCCAGAAATGAATTGTATAAGATTGCAACAATCAAAATTCATACACCTCACTTAAGATCTTTCAATTCTTTAATGACTGCTATTGATGCATGAGTGATGTCTCACATTTTTGAAGAACTATATTAACACTGATAATGACTCTAAAAAAAGTCGAAACGTTCATTTTTATGAAAATATATGCAATCGATTACTATTGTACACTGATTAATAATATTATGTGATCACGTTCCAACAACTGCGTTACACTCTCATTTGCCTGATTTCTCAGGATTTTTTATAAAAAAAAGAATTTTGAAAAATGGTTATAAAATGATACTAAAAGAATACTTTCTTAATACATCCCCTATGGTACAAAATATTGCAATACTGCAGCAATATTTCAATAGTGCGTAATATTACAAAAACTGCAGTAATATTGAATATTGAAATTATAATATTTTATTGGAAATATTGCAAAATATTGTAATCTTAATATTTTGTAGAAAATATTGCAATATATTATTTGAGGCGTGTTCGGATTTTCAGGTGTTCTCTGGGTCATGCCTTGTTTAACGTTCGGTAAATAATAAAGATGAAATGATATCTGGATAGTATTCGAATGGGAATCGGAACATAGCTTTGGATGTGCTTTTTAGGCCCTCGAATATATTTTGATCATAACTTTATCGTATGTATTTTAGAATATGATGCTGATCAATAATATGTCAGCAGTTAATAGAACTAGAATAATTATTGAAATATTGCATAATGTTATAGCAATATGTATGCAATATTTTTCTAATATTGCAGTATGTTTTATGAAATATTACAATCTTTCAAAATAATATTGCTACAATATTGCTGCAATATTTCGTGTTGTAGACGATAATATTATTATTATTATTGATATTTGCAGATGTAGCTACCCGGGAAAAAATTTTTTATGCATGAATATGTATAAATAAGTATAAACATACATAAATATTCACAAACATGCACAATCATATATGAAATATGTCCATACATGTTCATACATCTCTCTTTTTTTTATAAAATTTATGTTTTTTAGTGTAATAGAAATATTAATAGTAATGTAAAAACATTAAAAATAATTAAAAGGATTTTTACATTATTTGTTTTATTTAAAAAAAATCAAGTTTGAAAATATGTACAAAAATTCCGTATAATTATACATAAAATTATGCATAATTGTGTGTGTGCAATTTTTTTATATTTCTTCAAACTCATTTTTTTCTAAAACGAATACTGCGAAAATTATCCCTTTAATCATTTTTTATGTTTTCACATTACTATTATTATTTCTATTATACTAAAAAATAATTTTACAAAAGAAACACAGGGATATATGAACATATTTCATATACAATTGTATATATTTATGATTGTACATGTTTGTATATGTTTATATTTATGCATATTTATACATATTTATACATATTCATGTATGAAAAATGTTTTACCGATAAATCTTATACAATTATGAAAATTTAAATTTGTACATTAAATATTTCTTAATATCATTATTTTACAATTTATTAATTAATACTCTAATACTTCCTTCACATTAGTAATTATAAAGAAAATAACAGAAAAAGTAAATAATGCTTACAAGAGAAGATAAAAAGTGTTAATTAAGATTTATATTGGAGTATAAAGATTAATATAGAGTATAAATGAGTCAGGACAATGATTCTTAAAATTTACCAAGCGAATTTTTTAAAATTACATTTTTTAAAATTATTTATTACAAATAATAGTGAAACATCCATTAATTTTTATCAAAATTAAGAAAGCGTTCATATTCTTTTATGTTACATGCTATGTGATAAAAAAGTTATTAAAATAATCTCTTTTCTGAATTAGCTTTATTCTAAATATTTTGTAACACAGATTTGTTAAAATGAGTCGAACAATTTTGTGCATTGTACACAGAAATGTTAAAACTAATTGTTATAATAAATGTTTATATTTTGAAATAATATATTAGATGCGCAACTAAGTTCCCGCTGTTTGTCAACAGATGGCTCCAGCAATAAGTGAACAGTTTTATCGTGATGGTATACGAGCTCTGCCAGAAAGATGGGAAAAAGTAGTAGCTAGCGATGGGCAATACTTTCAATGATTCATTTGTAACCATTTTTTCACAATAAAGTTGCATTTTCATCAAAATAACAACGAGAATTTAGTTGCGCACCTAATATAAAAATGTTTAAGTTATGTTTGTTCTGTATGCACATATACATACACGCACAGATGCGCGCGTGCACATGTTGCATATGCATGCATGTACGTGTACGTACACAGGCTCGCGCGCACGCACACACACACACACACACACACACACACACACACACACACACACACACACACACACACACAAGTTATTACATACATTATATAATTATTACATATATATAATGAATATATATATATTCATATAAATTCATATATAAATTATATATAATTGAATAGTATATAACTTTTTGATATTGCTCACGTTTTGTTTCTAATAGCTCGTGAAATTCCTTTTTTAACATCAGCACAGCCAGAAATCGAGCTGCTATCATTACTATTCGTTTCCATTAATTCCCTGTAATCGCTATCTTCTATGCCCGATTTCATTTTTTGTCGTATCACGATCGTGTCCGGTGGTAGCTTTCGTAGAATTTCCATATTTTCATAATCCAATGCGTTGCTTTGCGTGTTTGAATTCCCGCGTCCTGCCATTTCTCCAAACTGCCGCCGTAGAACCATCTTGGAATCGTTGTCGCTTAACTCGATTATGTGGCGATTAATATTGCTAGTCCTGTTACGATCACTTGGCTGAATTTGTTCCATTAGAAACATCTTTGTATTTTCATCAAATATTTTATCCCGATTCATTAAGGCTAAATTTTTAGTTAGATCAAAATGGGAAACATATCTCTTAATACCTTTGTTTTAATCTTTCTCAATCGATAAATGGTGCAATGACTGCGTTCGGAAATATCACTCGGATGCATTTAACAAATATTAAATAAAGACAAGATGATAAATCCAAGGCATCGGAGACATCCGAGCGACATTTCCGAACGCAGCCAACGATGGAAGAAGACTGTGTATAGGTACATTCACATGCAAGCGTCAAGCTTCAAGCAGTGGAAGCAGCAACCAATCAACAAGGCGACTTTTACAGTGGCGTAAAAAATATTTTTTATACATTGCTTATATTGCTCAGCTGATTGATTACTGTTTCTGCTGCTTGACGCTTGACACTTGCATGTGAATACACCTTAAGGATGCGTTTACACTTTGGGCTGCGTTCAGATTCCTTACCGGGTGATCACTAAGTAACTGGGTAAGTAGACGAAGCCTAGCGAAAAGTATCAATGTGGAGAATCTAAACGCACTCTAAGAGTGAAATCACACAATGCGGAATAAGATTGCGGAATAGAGAATGCACAATTGAAACAACCACTCAGCGCTATTCCGCATTTCATGTTGCGGAATAGCGAATGCATGATTGTTCTTGTAATAAACCGTCATATTTTGAGAGGTTAAAATAATTTGATGCTGATTGATATGATGAAATTGTGTCGAGGCGAATGCAGCAAAATGACAAAATCTGAGTGCATAAATATAGATACCAAGATCAAAAAAACAATGATGCATTACGTGCGATTTCAGTGTGTCCTTTTCCGCACTTTTTCATCACGCCAGATTTTGTGTGCTGTGTTCACACAATGTGGAAAAATGATAGTAAATGTGTTAAAGCAATTAAAAAAAGGAAATTGTAAATGTTATGAAATTGTCATGAAATTGTAAATATTAATTGTAAAATATTAGGTGCGCAACTAAGTTCTCGCTGTTATTTTGATGCATTTTCATCAAAATAACAGCGAGAACTTAGTTGCGCACCTAATATTAAACTACAACAGTGATAATTGTTTTTACAATTTGAAAAATTATATTTTATTTTAATAAGCAAATTATTAACATGAAGTTAGTAGTTTTTAAATTATATTCATGTTGGACACATCTTTGACGCATCATGTGAACATAGCACACAACACTTGTGTGATGGAAAGCAGAATAGCGCTAATTAGTTGCTTCAATGACGCATGCTGTATGTTCCTCAGTCCTATTCCGGATCTTGTGATTTCATCCTAAGGCTTGGATTTACAATAGATTTTTAAGTTTTAAATCATAAGGAACGAATGAATCATAATCAATTATTCTCCTCGCATTCGATTGTAATTGATCAATTTCTTACTTAAAGCTTAAAAATCTTTTTTAGATAAAAACACCTTTTGTAGATCCTGACTGAAAGATATATTTTTATGCGATGCTGAAACACTCGTTTTTTAGTGTCAAGAAATATCGAATCTAACCTTTGTAATCTGTAACGAGGAAACAATAAATTTCTGCCGTGTATCACTGTGTGTTATTTATTCTGAAATTTAAAGTTCAATGTTTAAATATAAATATCATGACAGAATGTGTAAATTTAATTCAAAAAGAAATTTTACATAATATATTCTCATATGGCTACGTTCTATTTAATGTTCACAATGCTCGTGGAATTAGCTTGGATCATCATACAGACAACAGCGCTTTGGTACAGAGAAGCTTTTAATGAAAAGCCAGTTATGGCGGGTAAAACTTATCTCCATCACTCGTTTTTCGCCAATCAGCGTTCAGTGTCAAAGCGCTGTTACCCGTGTAAGAATCCAGGCTTAAGATAAATTTTTAGCAAGCTGCTTAAACTGGCTGTTTTAGTGACAAAAAGGATCACATGGTTAAAATTGATTGAATATCAAGCATCAATTTTGATCACGTGATCTTTTTGTCGCTGAAACAGCCGGTTAGAGCAGCTTGTGAAAATTTACTTTTACCCTAGATCTACAATGTTTTAAGGGTGTTAAAAGGGGTTTTAAGCCTTAAGTCATAAGGAATTGACCAATTACAGTCGAATTCGAGGAGAATAATCAATTATGATTCGTCCATTCTCTTATGGCTTAAGGCTTAAAACTCTATTGCAGATCCGGGGTTATGGCTCCTGCATATAAACGCGGCAACGCTTGCTTGACAGAACTTAGCGCGATAGCTAATCAACGCTTGCTTGGAAGTAATAAGTATATAATTTCCATTGCACGACAAAAGTTGAACTCCATCCAACTTTTGCCGCACGGCGGAAGTAATATTACATTTCTAGAAGTTTTGCATGGTGAAGCCGATTTAAGAACATAGAATTATTGATTAATGCGACAACTTCCGCCGCGCGGCAAGCGTTGTTGCATTCTGAGTACAGGAACCAAGGTATTCATATTAGAATACTTATAATACCGTCACATGAAGCATAACTTGCGTAAGCATAACTTGTACATATTCTAGTAATGTTACTAAAATACGTTATACAATATTTTATTTACTAGAATACGCTATTCTGAAAGAGATTCACATTGGGCGTATTTCGTGGAAGATTAAAAAAATGCGACCAATTGCTGCTTAGAATTTCTGTTGTACACTCTAACAAAAATGATAAACGAATTTACGATTGGTTTTCATAATCTATGCATCTTGAAAAGTACGTCTTATGGGGAACCGGCACCTTTTTATCGCGTACATGTGAACGGATGTAAATGAATCATTAAAATCGGAAAGTCTTGTGAGAGAGAAAGAAACCACTCTTAGACTTATTCGACGCGTTTTTGCATGAAACGAAAGAATCTGGCAAAAAAGTGCGTCGCTCTGTCCTGAGATCCGAGATATTAAGAATTAAAGTTGATGACTATTGAAGTTAGGAAATCTGTCATAGAAGCAAAATGAGGCCTGTAAGATATATATACTCCGCACAATAAAAGGAACAGGGAACAGAGAATAGAGAATAAGAATTTCAACCTATCAGAAATCATGTATTGTGGAATACACAGTTTCTGATAGGTTGAAATTCTGTCTACAAAATTCAATTGTCAACCTAACATGCACATAGTACATCAATTCGTCCAGTAATACTGAAGCTCCAAAAAGCTGAGACGTTAAAAGAAATTCTGTTAACTATGCTGTCTGCACTATACGTGAAAGAAACGTATGCTATTTTGGTCGCAAAATTGCAGAAAATATTATATGAAACATCTCTTGTACATCGTTTCGAAATAACATACCAAATAATTTGATTATTTTAATTAAGCAATTAAATTATTATTGAATTTTTTGTGGTATCATGTTTCATATTTCGCAGACAAATAATGTTATATTTTTTAAGGAATTATTTTTTTTAACTGTCACGTCGCAAAGACATGCATAGAGAATAATGTGTATTATGTTGGTAATGCTACTTGGATATGCATAGTCGACAAAATTTATTGTGGAAGAATTTATAGCGGTGTTTAGCCGTTAGCGGCAAGTAGCTTAAGTTAGCTTGAATGTACGTACGACAGTGCATGTACAAGTAAAAAGTAAGTAATTGTCTTTTATTCTTTCATAATTATTTCGTAGTTTTTGTGTAGTTTCTCCACGCATAATATTCTTTTCTGCTCTTTTTAAACTGAATAATGTAATTAATTGATAGAAAATTTGTTGAGTATCCTAACCTATTTTACTACATTTAATTCTTAAGAACTTTAATCATTTCATGTATCAGTTAAACAGTATAGTATCATATTTTTTTCACTCGCATACTATTGGGTCATCTAAAAAGTATCCGCGGTTTTTTGTCACTAGATGGTGTTGACCATCAACACTATCTAGTGCCAAAAAACCGCGGATACTTTTTAGATGACCCAATAGTATGCGAGTGAAAAAAATATGATACTATACTGTTTAACTGATACATGAAATGATTAAAGTTCTTAAGAATTAAATGTAGTAAAATAGGTTAGGATACTCAACAAATTTTCTATCAATTCAGATCGTACATCTGTTTTTGAGTGGCATAAGCGTTTTTTGGAAGGCAGAGAGACCCTTGAAGATGACAAAAAATCAGGACGGCCAATTTTGGTTCGAACACTCGA